AGAACTGAAGGTTAGTCCTTTCATCTCTCTTTCTTAGACTTTGGCCATTCCTTTTACTGAAAACCAGGCATTCTGTCTTCTTACAATTGATTGTTTGTCATTTCTTCTGTTTTTATTTTGATCTCTTCCTCTTGCTGACAATCCTACATTGTCTTCTTAGGATTGGTTATCCATTCTTCACTCTTTCCTTCAATTGGGTCCTTCCACTTGCTGACAACAATACATTCCGTCTTCTCATAATTGAAGGTTAGTTCTTTCTTCATTCTTTCCTCCACTTGCACACTTCCCCTTGCAGACAACAATAATTCTGTTTCTTACAATCAATGTTCAGTCCTTTCTTCGCTTTTGCTTCAATTGGGCTGATCCCCCTACAGACAGTCGTATATTCTGTCATCTTACAATTGATGGTTTGTACTTTCTTCTCTCTCTCCTTTTCTTGGGCTATCCTCTTGCTGACAACCATTCATTGGACTTTGTGAAAACCATTCACTCTGTCTCCTTACAATTAATGGTTAAGCTTTTCTTCTCTCTTTCTTTCACTTTACTGACAACCATGCATTCTGTCTATTTGCATTTGATGTTTAGTACTTTCTTCTCTCTTTCCTTCACCTGGCCTTTTCCTATTGTGAAAACCATATAATGTGACAGAGAGAGTCTGGGAAACACTCACACACACACACGTATATCTTTTTAGTGAAATTGAAGAAGATTTGGACTAGCGAAATTGATCAGAGCATTTCGTTTACTGATGGGAAATCTGATCTAGGGCAGGAGCTGTACCCATTGGAACTGGGTCATTAGCAGACAATGGAAATGGTCGAAATAATTTTTATTGATTAAAACTTGGAATAGTGCTGAGTAAGCAAGGAGGATCTTTAGAATTCACATGATTTTGGTTGAAACAGCCAAAACCCCGTGATAATCACGTGCGAACTAGTAGGGCCAAGGTTCAGTTGTAATCAGCCGGATTTTTCTATATAAACGCGTAGTTATGCTGAAGAAGAGGCAGACGGAAGAGGCAGACGGAAGAGAGAGACAGAAGAGAATTAGCCCGGGCAAGAGTTGGGCTAGAGACAGTGGAGAGTCAAGTTGGAGACTCAAGAAGGAGAGAACGTGACGTCAGAGATTGGAACGAAGTGTCCGCTAACATATACTGTTGACATAAGTACCGCTGTTTCTGCTACCACGAATATTACTACTATTGTTACTACTGATAAAGAGGAACGTCACTATAAGCTTTAAGCCACGTACAGAAATCTTATTCCCACATCGCAAGAGTCGTATATCGTTCTGAGACGATTTAACAACAAGTTAATCATAACACACACACACACACACTCTCTCTCTCTATCTCTCTCTATCCCTCTCTCTCTCTCTCTCTCTCTGTGTCCAGAATCCAGTGTATGCGTTTTTACGTCAATTACTTTTCTTTTCTTTAACCCGTTTCTTTTCTATACTAATCTTTTCTGCTATATAAAGGACATTAACAATTCAATCATTAAATAGTTGTTTGTCCGGCTTTCTGCAGATATTAATTATTTTTTTTTTTTTAGCTGCATTCTAAATTTCTTAGCGCAGACTCACCAGCCGTGTCTACATCTTCAGTCGACCGTGAATGGATGAACATCACTTCTGCTTTCTGGATCAAACAAAACACAACGTGGGCAGGAAGCAGGATTAAACCAGTGGACCAGTCGAATAATCTACAGATGCTCAGGGGACCTATGGCCACTCCCTTTTGGTTAGGACCGAGTAGACACCTCAACCCAGAGAGTAAGACGTCGGAGGTTGAGGGGCTGGGGCGAAAGTGTTAGAATATTCCGTCTTCTTACAATTTATGGTTGGTCCTTTCTTCTCTCTTTCCTTCAATTAGGCTCTCCTTCTTGAGACAACGATACTTTCCGTCTTCTTACAACTGGTGGTTCCTCCTTTCTTCTGTCTTTCCTACGATTGTGCTCTTGCTCTTGCTGAAAACCATACGTTCTGTTTTTTTACAATTGATGGTTAGTCTTTTCTTCTCTCTTTCCTTCACGTGGGCTCTTCCCCTTGCTGACAACCACACATTCTGTTTTCTTACAATCTATGGTCCGTCCTTTCTTCTCTCTTTCTTTCACTTGGCCTCTTACTCCTGTGAAAACAATAGATTTTTTTCCCTTACAATTGATGTTTAGTCGTCTGTTTTCTTCACTTGGGCTCTTACTGATAACCATCAATTCTGTCTTCTTACAAATGATGGTTAGTCCTTTCTTCTCTCTTTCCTTCTCTTGGGCACTTCCCCTTGCTGACAACCTCCATTCTATCTTCTTACTATTAATGGTTGGTCTTTTGATATCAGTTTGGATTAATTGGCCTCTTCCTCTTGGGGCTACTATAAATTCTGTCTCCTTATAATTTATGGTAGTCCTTTTCTTCTCTCTTACCTTCACTTGGGCTTTTCCTCAGGTAACAACCTTATATTTTCTCTTCTTACAATTGCTGGTTTGTCACTTCTTCCCTCTTTCCGTTACTTGGGCTCTTCCTCTTAAGACAAACATATATCCTGTCTTTTTACAATTAATGTTTATTCCTTTCTTCGCTCTTTCCTTCACTCGGGCTCTTCCTTTTGCTGAGAGCCATACATTCTGTCTTCTTACAATTGAAGGTTAGTCCTTTCTTCATTCTTTCCTTCACTACCTTCGCTAGGTTTTCCAATTTGGTATTTAAGAAATCAGAAAAAGTTTTTAACTATTTTGTCGAGTAGAATGTGGGGAAGTCCTATACGCCATTAGATATGGCAATACTTGAACTGTATTAGAAATATTTTTGCAAAATCTTTTTTATTACTCCTTTTCTTTACTTTCTCGTTTGTAGCCACTTGTCAGCTATGAACCGATACAAATTCGATTCACTCATACTATCTATCTATTTATCTATCTATCTATATATATGTATATAAGATGTTCGTACGAACTACATTCATTGGTTCCATCAGACCTGACCTTCACGGCTAGGACCCACCATGCCCCGTACACTGAGTCAACCCATCCTAATTCCCTTCAAATTCCATCCGCAAGGAAGACGTCCCACTCAAAACCTTCTTTTCCAGAACTGTTGCAATGTAGAACGAACTCACAAGGGGGTGCTTCTCTGATCACTAGAAGCACTTCGAATCAAAAGTCAACCATTATCTATCCTAAATATCCTCATAATAAGCAACTTAAACTCCTTTACAACATTCCTATTTAGTGGCCCTCTATCTTAAGTGACTCTTAAGCCTTATACTGTGTAAACATTAGTAAAAAATAATCTCAATATATATATATATATATATATATATATATATATATATATATATATTACAGTCTGTATGTGTTGGTCTGCTCATACCTATGGTACGAAACAAAAGAGCTATTTGAACTGATAGGAAAGCTTTATTTATTTTGGAATGATGTACGGCACGAGGATCTATTTGAAGTGCTGGGAAGACTAGATCAATTTGAAGAGATTTTAGAATAAAAGCAGAGCTTATAATGAGTACTAACTGCCTCATTATCGATAGAAGGGGTCTGAGACAAGGATGCATCTTCTCCCCAAATTTATTTAACCTCTTCAGCAACGCTGTCCTAAGTGAACTTGAAACCCAACCAGGATTTATTATCTATGGGTGTAATCTTAACAATATAAGATATGCAGATGACACTCTGTTGATGGCCGACTCGGATTAGAAACTACAGGACCTCCTAGACAGGGTGTTAGAAGAAAGAGAAAAGGAAAGTGACAAATCACCAACTTCAAAAAAACAGAAAGTGTGGTCATCAGCAATAGTAAAACGCCCAATATTCGCGTTACGAATAGGAGATACGAAATAAACTGAGCAGGTTCAGGTGATTAAATATCTGGGAAATATTTTAATAGAGGATGGAAAATGTGACACCGTGATCAGAAGTACGCATTGGACTAGCAAAAGAAGCATTCCAAAAACTAAGCAGGGTGCATAGAAACGGAAAAAAATTCATTAGAAACAAAGAAAAAAGTGACGGGTTTCTATGTGATATCCATCTTATATATGACAGGGAATGCTGAACAAACTCTCCCCGGGTGAGGAAAAAACTAGAATCAACAGAAACGTGCTTCTACAGAAGGATACTGAGAATTCCTTGCATGCAGCGAATAGGATGTCTTAAAAATGTCTTAACGAAAAGAACGCTTATACTCAGAATTAGGAAGAGATAGCGGAAATTCCTTGGACACATACTAAAGAAGGACGTCTGGGAAAACCCCAGCCTCACAAGGCATCTTGGGAGCAAGAAAAAGAGGAAGGAGGCGAGCCACTTACCGGACGAGTGAATGGATAGTAAAAACAGGAAGGTGGGGGGGCGTCGGTATTAGTAAAGTGAGAAAAACTGCTAAGAACTACACGAGATGGAATGTTGTGGAGAGCCATGTTCACCTGTCCCGAAAGGACGCTGCAGACAGAAGATTAGAATTGGAAGCAAGCTTTGCAATTACACAAAAACAGAAAGAGAAATAATACAGATGTATCTCCGAGTCGTATTTCGCCTATACAGCGAGATGACTATCCTAAGCAAACAAGAAGACGAGGATATATTACCAGCGGACATAACATGTCTTGACAACATAGGATACGCAGCTAAGACTGGGTTGATGGCAGACTCAGAAGGGAATCTGCAAAAGATCTTATACAAGCTAGTAAAGGGAAGTGAAGAGAAATAAAGATTAGCTAAAAGACAGAATATATAACTGTCAGCAAGAGAGACAGCCAAAGGCTTGAGCTACAAATAGTAACTAAAGAATCGGGCAAATTCGGAAATTTAAATAGCTGGAAAGTATTTTAACAGACGACGGAAACTGTGATACAAAAGATGCACTTGAATAACGGAAGTTGTCCCCCCAGAAACTAAAGAATATTTCGTTAGAAATAAAAGGAAACAATGAGTAACTGCTATGTAATATTTGGCATCGACAGTTTCCTTGCAGATGAAGAAGAGACTTGAAACGTATTAGTGTTTAACAAAGGGAGTGGCGGGTGGAGGGGAGTGAGATAGAGGTTGAGAAAAAGAGACGAAGAGCGAAAAGGATTGACATAGTGTTTCAGAAAAGAAGGTGAAGCGAGGAAAAGAACTAAAATAGAGGTTGAGAAAAAGAGAGGGGGGCAGGAAGTGACTTGAATATGAGAAAAGGAGAGGAATAGAGAGACAGAGAGGCAGGGACTCAGATGGAGATTGAGAAAAAGAGAGGAAGGTAGGAAGGGACTTGGATACGAGAAAAAGAGAGGAATAGAGAGACAGAGAGACACGGTCTCGGATGGAGGTTGAGAAAAAGAGAGGAAGGTAGGAAGGGACTTGGATACGAGAAAAAGAGAGGAAGAAAACAGACAGGCGGGGACTAAGATGGAGGTTGAGAAAAAGAGAGGAAGGTAGGAAAGGACTTGGATACAAGAAAAAGAGAGGAAGAAAACAGACAGGCGGGGACTAAGATGGAGGTTGAGAAAAAGAGAGGAAGGTAGGAAAGGACTTGGATACAAGAAAAAGAGAGGAAGAAAACAGACAGGCGGGGACTAAGATGGAGGTTGAGAAAAGAGAGGAAGGTAGGAAAGGACTTGGATACGAGAAAAAAGAGGAAGAAAACAGACAGGCAGGGGACTAAGATGGAGGTTGAGAAAAAGAGGAAGGTAGGAAAGGACTTGGATACAAGAAAAAGAGAGGAAAAACAGACAGGCGGGGGACTAAGATGGAGGTTGAGAAAAAGAGGGAAGGTAGGAAAGGACTTGGGTACGAGAAAAAGAGAGGAAGAAAACAGACAGGCGGGGACTAAGATGGAGGTTGAGAAAAGAGAGGAAGGTAGGAAAGGACTTGGATACAAGAAAAGAGAGGAAGAAAACAGACAGGCGGGGACTAAGATGGAGGTTGAGAAAAAAGAGAGGAAGGTAAGGAAAGGACTTGGATACAAGAAAAAGAGAGGAAGAAAACAGACAGGCGGGGACTAAGATGGAGGTTGAGAAAAAGAGAGGAAGGTAGGAAAGGACTTGGATATGAGAAAAAGAGAGGAATATAGAGACAGAGAGGCAGGGACTCAGATGGAGGTTGAGAAAAAGAGGAAGAGAGGCATGGGCTTAGACTGAGGTTGAGAAAAAGAGAGGAAGGTAGAAAGGGACTTGGATATGAAAAAAAGAGAGAAAGGGGCACAGATGGAGTTTGAGGCAAAAAAGACGGAAGTAGGTACCGACTGCGACAGATCTTGAGAAAAAGAGAGAAAGGGAAAAAAATAACGCAAATAGAGGTTGAAAAAAACCCGGAAAATATTAGATTTTCAGAAAAAGAAAGAGAAGAAGGTTGTGTGATAGAGTTTAAAATGAAGGCAAAGGAACAGACTCAGATGGAGTTTGACGAAGAGAGAACAAGGAATTGGGATAGAGTTTGATAAGAAAAAGTGACGTAGGGACTAAGAAGTTGATATAAAAAGTGGAAGAGAAGAATCAACATAAATAGTGCTGTGGAGTTATTTCGCAGTGGAGGCTTGTATTTGTACTAAATCGGTCCTAAATAGTTCGACGTACAAAACGTTAGGAACTTGATATAATAGGTATTACGCAGAGTAATCTTGTTGCGGTCGCTGTCTACTTTCGTATTCGACTAACTGTCGACTACTGTCGTCCGACATCGACTGACCCCTCCACGAGGGTATCATGTTGCACAAGGCCGGTTTAACGTGGGATCTCCGAGCCCGTGGGCTCAGCCAAAAATATGCCCATTGAACCCGTATAAACGGGTTCAGGGTCGGTTTACCTCCCCGAACGAGACTCTGCCCTTCGGCATAGCCTCGTTCGGATTCCTCCCCGCACGAAGGCAGAGAGTTCAACCGTTCAGCCGGTCGTCCGACATCGACTGATCCCCATTTCTCTTACTACTCCTATTTATAGTAGGTGGGAGAGTCTATTAACTATAGAATAGGTGTGTTTCACCATAACACCCCCCCTCCTAAAACTTTACTCCGTAGGAGTAAAACAGTTTTCTTTATTTATTTTTTACAGGAAATATGAAGAAAAAACAAAAAAAAAACTTTATTTTTTTAGCAATATCGTAGCGTATCTCCTACGTTTTGGATCCACTTTTAAATGATCAGTTGCCTTTCTTTTTCTCCTGGATCGGCGTACCTCAGGTAAAATCGTTGCAGGCGTCGTTAGATCAACGTATCGCAAATCACCTCCATCGGCGTTTCTTCCGCGGGACCGCTTTCAACCACATCTGAAGAGCGTCATTTGATCTGGTTAATGTGTCGTCTGCACGTGAATTTTCCGCCTTTCACCAAGTACATCATATAGCCAATCCGCTTTTCTATTTTTTGGTCCCTCCATAGTGTTACTAGAAACAAACTTCCGCTTTGAGCTTCTTAAGGATGGGGTCACAGTTTCTGTAGGTTCTTCTTGTGGTTCTATTTATTCAGCCTCTAGCTTCCCAGTTTTTCTCGGTGTCGGCTTCATTTTTACTTTCTGGGGCTTTTTTTTTCACGTATACCATCGGTGTTGCCCATTCACTATATTCAACTTTTTTAAGTACACCGGTTTTCTCTAATCTGTTCAATTGAGGCAAACGGCACATTCCTTTTCTTTTTGAATACCGCCTGAGCGTTTTCTTTTAGCTGGAATTTTGCCTCCATCTTGGTAAACGTTCCCAACCCTGTAGAAAAAACAGTAGGAAATGTTTCCTTAAGTTTCTTTATTAATTTTTGGGCTTCGGTGTTTAAACTTTCTACCTTGTAACAGAAGGAATTTATCGGTAGATCCCATAATTGGAATTCTGCTATCCAATTCGTACCAAGTAAGTTCGTGGTATTTTCTATGACAAATAGTTTAGCTTTTCGCGTTTTTTTATTTAACGTGACGTTTGTAGCAAATTCCCCAATAAATTGTATTTTTCTCCCGTCACTGACCTTGCGATTTTCTTTGTCTTCATTAAAGTTGGTTTCCCCAACTTCTTCCACGTATGCAAATTTATGATAGATAGATCTGAGCCAGTGTCAAGTTGCATTTTTATATTTTTATTACTTATTTCGATGGTAACAAATTTTCTGGTTATTCCATCTTTTACCTGGTTGGACTTTAATTTTCTTATTTTAGTGTCTTTGTTTTTGACCTGCAGTGCGAGCTTTTATGACCCACTCTTTTACAGTTGAAACATTTTTTATTCCTAAAATCGCAATATCTGTACCAGTGTAGTTCACCGCAAGCAAAACATGGCTTCGGGAGTTTTTGTTTATTTTTCTCTGGTATTTCACTTTTTGTTTGATAATCCGCAATTTTAGAATTCTTTTCGGTACACTGACTTCCTTTTTTGTAGCGTATTTTCCTTACATGCGAAACGCCAGACTGTTCTATCTTTTTTTAATCTTTCTTTACGCTAACATATCTTGTGCAGTCTTCTGCCAATTTCTGTACCGTAATACTTGGATCGCTTTCTAATTTTGCCAGTTCTAATTTTCTCAACTCTGCGTCTCGTTCCGATACCAGCTCTTGAACAAACACCAAGCACTTAAAATTGTCTGCGCTTAACTCTGCCAGCTTGAATTCTTCACAATGCTTATTCACATTGGCTGCGTACGTTATATAGTCTTGTTCGTCATCTTTCATCAGATTCAAACATTTCCACCTCTTGTGAAACAGAGATGTCTTTTTACTAAATAATTCACTTAATATATTTACCGCCTCGGTAAATGTCAACTCGCTTTTTTTTTTCCGATAAAATGTAGTTTACCAATTTGTTATGCTCAGCAGTTCCTAATTTGCTTAAAAGAATCCTAACCTTCTTTCCTTCAGACCACGAGTGGCAGTCCTCGTTATACACGTCCGTATATTTTTTATAATACTCCTCAAAAGTTATCTCTTCATCTGGACTGTACGTGAATATTTCAATTGAATTCCATATTGTATTCTCTGGGAAAGAATCATTTTGTAGATTTTTCTCTTTCCTCTTCTCAGTTATTTCCAGAATTTTGTTTTGAAACTCTTTATGCATCTGTTCCATTTTTTGTTGGAATTGCATTTGTCTATTAAAAGTTTCCTCCTGTAGCTGCATTTGGAATGTTTTTTGTTGCTCTAATATTATCATCTGTTGTTCCGACTGGAACTTAAAGAATGCCCGGAATATATTTTTGCATTTCTCCATCTTCGCAAAAAGTTTACACAATGCCTAAATACTGTAGAGTGGGGGCGGGGTCCTACGAATTTGCAATTCGTGACCTATTTGAGCAAACTGTATTATCGGGGGAAAAAATATTTCTTTTCTCAGTTGAGAATACGACAGATTTTTTCGTCACTAAGTTGACGTCTTGGCTTGCGAAAAACTTTGCCAAGTTTTTTTTTTTTAAGTGTGAATCCGAAACTTTGTCGCCGAAGTTATTGTGGCGAGCGAATTTTTTCTTCCTCCGTATGAGTGCGAATCCTCGTCGCCAAAGTTGTTGTGGAGTTATTTCGCAGTGGATGCTTGTATTTGTACTAAATTTGTCCTAAATAGTTCGACGTACAAAACGTTAGGAAATTGATATAATAGGTATTACGCAGAGTAATCTTGTTGTGGTCGCTGACTACTTTCGTATTCGACTAACTGTCGACTACTGTCGTCCGACATCGACTGACCCTCGTTTCTCTTACTACTCCTACTTATATTAGGTGGGAGCGTCTATTAACTATAGAATAGGTGTGCTTCACCATAACAAATAGAGATTGAGGAAAAAAGAGGGGGAGGTACTGCGGTAGAGTTTAAGAAAAAGAGAGAAAGAGAGGCAGGACTCAGATAGAGGTCGAGGAAGAGAGAGGAAGAGTGTAAGGGTCTGAGAAAGATAGAGATTGAGAAAAAAAGAGAGGAAGACAATTAGGAACTAAATACACGCTGGGAAAAAAAGTATAAAATAGTTATCGACTGAGAAGTTGAGAAAAGGAAAGTAGAACAGGCCTAGACACGAACGATGAAAAATGTGAATAAGGAATGAGAGTCCGCCACTGGCTATAAATGTGTGAGAAGGCAGTGAGACAGATGAGAAAGGACGGATATAGAATTATTGTCTCCCTTTTTCCATTGGGCCTAAGTCTTCACTAAGCAACCCAGGGATTAAATTCAAAATTTCATCGTCATCGGATTCAGGAACCAACAACTGAATCCACTAGTCTATTATACCATGGTGTGTACTAGGTGTACAACATGGAGTTGTAAACCTAAGCTGCCTGCTGCTAAGACTGATGCTTCTCACACTTGACTGCATTCACCAAGGCTTCTCTTTTCTGAATGGTGCACAAAAATGGTCTGGAAAATATTTAACAAGCAATGTGTGCTAGCCTTTATAACAAGACTTGTGCAGACGAAAATTTTCTTCCGAAATACCCCCTTTTCAGGCATAGAAGAGACAGACATGAATACATAGATAGATAGATAGATAGATAGATAGATAGATAGATAGATAGATAGATAGATAGATAGATAATGAACAGACTGGGGTAGATAGATAATGGACAGACTAAGATAGATAGATAGATAGATAGATAGATAGATAGATAATGGACTGACTTGGGTAGATAGGTAATAAACAGACTGGGGTAGATAGATAATGGACAGACTGCGATAGATAGATAGATAGATAGATAGATTGTTCGGGAAATAATATCTGGCGTTAAAATAACCATTTTAATTGTGATCTAATATAATATAATAGTTGCACAAAAACATATTACGTATTCCTAATTTTTAAAGTGTTTTCTTTGTTATTTTTATATCAATCTCTTTCCGAGTTTAACTTAAAACCTTATAACCTTAAAAGCTTATATATTTCCTCATCTTGAACATGGAAAAAGAAGAGTTACGTTTACATTTTTGGCATGATTTCAAGCATGGTCTTATTGCTTCCCAAACAGTTGAAAACGGCATAGAGTGAAGGATTCAATGAAGTTTCCCAGTGGAGATAAGTATCTTGAATATCAAGGCAGTACATGATGTCCAGCTGTAATTGACAATAAACATCTCGAACAAAATCTAGATCGAAGTGTCAGAGAAATATCTCAAGTAATAGATGTCAGCATTTCAACAATATCAGACAATCTGAAGAAAAAATGTCGAGGTGTAGAAACTTGATAAATGAGTTTCACATGAACTCACTGAAAGTTAAAGATTTCGAGATTTTCCAGTGTGTTCGATGCTGCTTCTGCGAAACTCGAATGATCGATTTCTTGATCGAATAGGGACTTCTGATGAGAAAAAGATCCTTTATGAGAATTACAAACGACCGGCTCAATGGTTTGATCATGACGAAGCATCTAAACACTTCTCATAAACCGAAATTACATCAAAAGTGGATGATGGCGATTGTCTGGTGGTCCGCCATTTGCATTATCCGTTAGAGCTTTCTGGAATTTAACCAGAACATCACTGCCGAAGTTTACTGTCAGCAACTAGATGAAGTGCACATTCAGTTAAGCGACAGGCAGTGGTTAATAGACGAGGCTCAGTAATTCATGACAATTTTCGACTGTTTAAATACATTAATTCATGAATAAAATTGATTCTAAAATCGGACCTTATTTTCCGAACATCTTAATAGATAGATAGATCTAACAGAATGTTGCATCTTATTTGGGCATCATTATCGCTAATTCTTCCGTTTTCCAAAAGCTGTGTTTGAAGAAGATGCAAATGAGTAACAACAGTTGACCTCACCCAAACAGTGAGCCAGCAAGGCGACATCACCATTTTACCTTCCTAAATTGTATCAATTGTGCCACTCTGAGTATTACTATGCCAACCGGCATAAAGTAAGATTAGCTTTACTTGACTGCAGTTTTGCCTCTGTCTGACACTTATTCTAAAGATCAAACCCACAGCCCAGGATTAGATTTGTCTTAACTTAAAGCAATCTGCTTATTGCATATCTCTTGATGTCGTTTCGCACTTAACTACCGTGATTATCTAACGCGAAGAGAAAAACTACACACTGCCGTTCTTTGTTTTTGAGTTTGTCGACTGTACAGTATAATAGGGTAAATTGGACACTCTGCGAGGAAAAGACCACCACGACGCAATTCACTCCGCCAGAAATTGGAAAACGGCATGTTATACTGATTCGCATTCGCACCGGAAGCGCCAATGCGAACATTTAAGCGTGTTTGGGTGTCAATCTGCGTACAGTGTACAGGATTTGAAAAGAGTTGGATGAGTCTAATGGTGATTACGAATGTGTTTGGAGTGTTCACTAGTGATGGCGACGTTAAATCTCCATTCGTCATCCCACAGGACTTCAGACTCAACACGGAGGCCTACACCAAGTGATTTGAAGAGGTAGTGTTTCCTTGGATCAAGACCATGGCTGGCAACAGGACTCTGCACCATGCCACACAAGCAGGAGAACCCAGTCAGGGCTGTCAGACAATTTCTGGAGCCACATCACCCCTTACATCTGGCCACCTAACTCCCCAGACCGCACTCCCTTGATTGTTGAGTGCGGGGTGCAGTTGAAAGAGAGACCAACGAAACTCCTTGTAACACCAAAGATGAACTGAAGGTAAGGAATATGGCAGTATTCGTCAGCTTAAATAAGGAGAGCGTCCAGAAGAGTTGCAGGAGATTTCGATGTCGTTTTGAAGCCGTAGTTTAAGTCAATGCCGATTTTATAGTATTTCAAGATATTTTTGTGTAATTTTCCGAAATATATCTTTTAAAATGAGATGACGGTTTTATTTTTATTTTTGCGTCATGTAGACGACAATTTATCCATTGCACCCTTTTACTTCTATGTAAACAATTTTTTTTACTTCTATGTAAACAAAACAAAACAAAATAGGATGTCATCTTTGACGGTGAACATTTCTATTGTAATGTCCATATAAACACTCTGATGATGGCTCATGTGAATTTTGGACAGTTTTGTCTTTATTTTCTCTTGAAACTAAAGCCATTATATGACGCTTGAAACGGCTCATGATAAAACATAATAGACATTTATTATTTGGTATATCTAAAATATATGTCTGACTATATATATATATATATATATATATATATATATATGTGTGTGTGTGTGTTTGTGTGTGTGATTTTTTTTTTTTAGCAATGTCGAGGTGCGTAGGGAGCTTTCGTCGGGGCGGCCTGATTCATTCGGAGTCAGGTCGGGTTGCTGTTTGAGAATTTGGTCAAAAGGCCTACTAATATAGAATTAATACTATTAGTTTCATTATCAATATTACTATTTTTTGATTTTACCTGTCGAATTTATTTCATAGGCCTACTGTATCTAAATATTATAAAAAGCATATGCTGACGATTTTTTTACCATATATATATATATATATATATATATATATATATATAAACGTTATTAGTGTAAATTTGCTCAAAATTCTTTTTGGGGAAAATTGTTGCCTCATAAATTACATTTTCCGCCATGCATATTCCTTCAAATGGGCAATTTGATCCTGTCCTGCAATTACATGTTGATGTTTTCATTTGGGTTGCATTACGATTCATTTGTATTACATATGTTTAATACGGCCCGTCAAAAATGTGTAAATTTGCTTTTCATTTTTTGTTTGGAAGTAAAGTCTGATGATCCGCAGTACTTTTAAAAGGGCTGTGGTGAAATAATTTATTACATGGAACTTTAAAGTGGTCTGTTTTTTATTTAAAATATATATATATATATATATATATATATATACACACACACACATATATATATATATATGGATTTTTATTATTAAGAGCGCAATTTCTCGAAATTTCAGCCCATAAATGAAAATAAATAAATATACTGTTTAATATATAAACGAGCCGTTACATCAATATCAAACATCGTTGAAACTAATGAGGACGAAACGTGACAGATAAAATATTTCCACTTTGTCATTAATTTTGCTAATATATATATATATATATATATATATATATATATATATATATCTGTGGACTCGTTTTGAATAGGTCCCACTGTAATTACCACCTAATTACCACCTAATATATTGGAGGTCATATACATTCAATCTATGAAACCTTCTCTCTGCAAATAGAACGATGCTGCTCTTTGGCTTCCAGGTTGTTTCCACTTACATATTTTTTTTTTATTTCGCACATTTTTCATTTCTTTTATTGACAATGCATACCTATTTATTAACCACGATTTAGCTCTGCTGAGCGGGGTTCGAAACCAGTTAGCTGGCCTATTTTTCATTATTTTTCTTTTGTTATCATGTACGGTAATATTAAAAATAAGTTTTGTTTGTTTAAATTGCCATATATGTATCTATATATATATATATATATATATAAATAAATACGCTTAAATTCACCTTCATCCCTGCCGTGCGCCAACGGCTTAGTGGTAGAATCCCGACTGACGCCAATTCAGTCGTGATTCGATCCTAGCTAGAGGCAAACTGGTGTCTAGCCACACTGATGAACTGTGACACACGAAACAGTCTGTCTGTGGATAACAATAATATATATATATATATATATATATATATATATATATATAACTTGTCTTTATCTCCTGTTTATACAAAGAGGCTACCCCAACATTTTGGCAATTCGATTAGTATTGTTTTTTTTTTCTCCCTTGTGAGTTTCCTGTACTCACATCAAAGCAGACGAAGGCGAGAAGGAAAACGTGATCTTACATTTAACAGTTTTTTTCATCATCTAATTCAGTGAACTTTTGTTTAACAATATATATTTTATCATCTATTCAGTTTTCCTGATCCATCTTTCTCTGCATCTTTCTTTCGTTAAGTATCTCAGCTTGTACGGCGGGCACTACAGCAAGCCAGTGACCTCTCTTGTCAACTCTCCGGTCAAGAGAGATAAAAACTACTTAAAGAGCCACGAGAAAGGCGAATAGCGTCGCTGACGTCAATAAGCGTTTAAAAGATACAAGCTTAGCCGCTCCTCGACGCCATGTTTTCTCTTTTACCTCTCAACATTTTGCCATTGTTTAATCTTAAAGACTTCTAACCTTTTTGAGGTAAATGCAACATTTGGCTTCTTACTTTATTGTTATCATAAAGATTTGATGGTTATTTCCTGACACAAGCGAATTCCTCTGTGACCAGTTTCCGTTATATAGAATTATAGACCCTCCATAATTTTCAAACAGATAACACATGGCGAAACTTTACAGAAACAATATGGCGTGTTTCAGTATAATTAAAAATCAGGTAAATTAATCTAAACGCAGCTAATCGATCTAGGATTATTTCCAGTGAGGGTTCGAACGAAGGATAAAGCCCGTTATTTTGATTGAGAATTCAAGGAAGGTTAGCTTTTCCTACTTTAAACAATGATGAAATAAATTTCACTATCAGTGTGCAATCATGAAGAAATACAAAAGCTCGCAAAATCACTGAAACGACGTCTTCTAAAAACAGTTTCAGACACAATAATGTTATAAATATCAATATTATAAATATAAATTTCCAAGAAAATGTTGTTTTTATAACTATGTCTTTATCTCATTAACACTGTTCTCAATATTTTGTTCAAATCATTTGTATTTGGAAACTTTGCACATATTCTCAAATAAATGATTTTTAATTGCAGCAATTTGGAGTTTCAGTAAATTGGCAATTAATGTATATTTGGAGCATCTAATAAAAATCCTTAAACTGTTCACAAATAGTAAGA